AATCTTGCAAAATGTTATTACAATATAAAATAATGGTTTCTATTTTAATATCCTTTAAAATATAATTTATTTCTGTGATGCAAAGCTGAATTTCCATCAGCCATTGCTCCAGTATAAAGTGTCACATGATCCTCATTCTAATATGCTGATTTATTATTAGAATGATCAATGTTGGCAACAGTTGTGCTGCTTTTTATTTTTTTGGAAACATACTTTTTTCAAGATTCTTTCATGAATAAAAAGTTAAAAAGAACAGCATTTATTCCAAATATAAATCTTTTCTAACAATATAAATCTTTGCTATCACTTCTTAACAATTTAACACATCCTTGCTGAATAAAAGTTTTAATTTCTTTCAAAAAAAGAAAGAATAAAAATTTACTGTCCCCAAACTTTTGAACTGTAGTGTATATTAGAAAAGATTTATATTTTAAATAAATGCTCTTCATATATATATACAAATAAATATTATGTCTGTATGTGCTCTACTCTCCAATTGGAAACTACTTTTTTAATAGTAAATTTAACTATTGTTTTAAAGTATAGACCTGACAATACGTTCCTAGTTTTATATACTGAATTTTTTACATTTTATGTAAAAGGGTTGAATGGTCCTTGCACAAATTTTCTAAAATGAAAAGTTTTTTTATTATTATAATGTGTGGACTTTTTTGGTGTACAATTTATTTCCCAAGGGAACGTATCTTATTTTAAGGATGTTTAGATATTTTTGTTACGTGAAACCTAAAAAAATGCAGTTTTTTTTTTTTTTTTGCATTTCATGCCATAATTTGTGTAGTCAATATGATTAACCTTTTATAAAAACGAAGTCTGTTGTATGTCCTCGTGCAGATAAATGTGAAATATTCACTTAACATTCTCTCAAATGCGACAAATTGTGTTTATTTACCAAATACTGTAATCTGGTGCACAAAACTATGGCATATAATCAGTCACATGTTATGGAGAATCACACACACACCTGGTTTTGTGGTTTGTTTTGTAAGCATTACTACAGAGGTCAGTATCAACACAAAAACAGGTGCTGGCCAGTTCTGTGTGTGTGTGTGTGTGTGTGTGTGTGTGTGTGTAGATACTGAGATACAGTTATAAAAATGAGCTGAATCTGTCGAAACCTATGAGGAAGAGGACAGAGGACGTCCTCAAAATATTATTGATAAATAAAGCAAACATTAGAATTAGTATGTAGTAAATACATAAGATTTAATGACAACAAAAGTCTATGAAAAATCCTCATTGAGACACTTGTGTGTGTTTAGAGCTGCTAAAAGAACTGATGTCTTCTGTACAGGAAGACATTTCATAATCAAATTCCTCTAAAAACATCTAATGCATCTGACATTCCAGTGTCACAGAATCTGTGTGTGTTGTTAGGTTACACAGAAACGCATCCGAACTAACAGCACTTTATCTCTGTGTATCCAAAACAAATAACAGATAATACATGTGTGTGTGTGTGTAATTAAAGTCTCTTTGGTCTGTTAGTACCTGGTATGTGTTTGGCCCAGCTGATGTTGAGCACCAGCTCTCTGTCGGCGAGGTCACACAGGGTCGTTAGGGCTTTGATGTCACTGTCGGGGAGGGCGGGGTCAGGCATGGCACACACCTTCTCTGGCTCCGCCCCCAACAGCAGGGTCACCACCTTATTCTCCCCCTGAGTGCTGCAGGACGCTAACAGAAAGAAACACAGAATATTAACACATATAGGGCAACCATACATCCTTTTTCCTAGACATGCCCTGGACGGATTTCTAAATAGCCTAAAATGTACAGGTTTTGGCTTTGTTTTCCTGCTGACATGCTCTCTATAGTCCTCATACATTATATACACAAATTTGCATTACTTTGCTTGTTCTCTGTAGATCCTGCCTTCTCACACGCCGTGATTGGTCGATTATGTACAATGCCTGCATGCTATTGGTCAAACAAATTTTCATTCATTACCTTCTGCAAGTATGAATAGAGTGCATTAATGCCTGCCCACTTTTTTTGTTTTTTTTTATCACCGCTGGTTCTAGAAGTATTTTTTCCATTCATTTTTCCCATTGGGATTTAAAAAAAAGTGCTATAAGCAATTAACCAAGCCAACCAGCTAAGAGGAGAAATCACAATATTACAAACTTTTATTTGAAGCAAAAAATGTCTTAAAATCAGACAAAAAGACAAAGGTACATGACTGTTTACTTATCGCCATTAATGAAGGAAAGAACTACAATCCCATCAGCCATTGCAAATGACATTAAAAATGATGGAGAAATATAAGTATACACACATATTTATATTTTGAGAGCATGAGGAAATGGACTCGATTACATTATTAGTGGTGCTTAATTGAAGTGGGCGGAGCTCAGCACTTGTTTGATGCGGTTTGCTCTCTGCGACTCTATGATTGGTGGAATTTTCTTTACAGCATCATGGGTAAGGTAGTTTCTTTGTTTTAAACACGATTATTTAAAACATGTTGAAATAATGCAAACTGATGGCTTCAACAAAAGCATACACCATCAATTGATAACCTCGGAGCACATAGTAGGTCTATATTTAAAGGTTAATAAGTAGTGCTCGCAAACGATTAATCGCATCCAAAATAAAAGTTTTTGTTTACATAATATATGTGTGTGTACGGTATACATTAAATACACACACATACAATATATATTTTGAAAATATTTACATGTATATATTTATATAATTTATATTATCTATTAAAAATATTTAAAATATAAACATAACTTATTTTTCTTAAATGTATACATGCATATGTGTGTATTTATATATACATAATAAATATACACAGTACACCCATTATGTTATTATGTAAACAAAAACTTTTATTTTGGATGCGATTTAACGCGATTAATCGTTTGACAGCACTATTAATAAGTTATTGTTAAAAATCAATTTCCCAATGGAGAAAATTAAGGACATTTTTATTTTCCAGAACCTGACTGTTGCACTCTTCTGGAAAACCAGGACATTTTAGTCAATTTAGAAATCCTGGCCACATATACTAAGACACAGACGTTTCTGACTGAGGTGCGGTGTGATTCTTACGTTGTTTTCTGTGAGGTTGCTGTACACTGAAGAAGACACTGGAATCAGAGTTGATTCTCCTCTTATATTTCTGCCGTCCTCCTCGCACCCGGTCCAAACGCACACCTGAGTCACACACACATATAGATTCTGGGATGAGAAAAACAACTTGCTCCTTATGTCAAAAAAAAGAGCTTGACTGAAATAAACAGCTGCATGAACTGGCTTTTATACATTTTTGGCAGCACTTTTAAAAAAAGCAGGTGCACTGAAATAAAATCAGGCCAGCAATAATGCGACTCCACACCTGCACTAATATAACACGCTTTGCTGACTGCGTATAATTATTATTTTTACGGTTGTGTTGCACGAGTACAGCTGCATATTTAAGAAGCCCATGATATGCGTGTGCTTAATCTCAGACACTTTCATAGCAAAACAAATCAAGAGAACCTGCATAGAGTGTCATTCATGTTATTTATTGCACTGCATGTAGCGAATCTCACCAAACCTGTCAAGAACACGGCAAAAATAAAATGCAAAAAAAAATGTATAATGAGGATTTTATGACAATTAGGCACAGTTCTCAGAAAAAAAAATTCATTAATCTAAAATTATACAATTTAAACATGAAAAACGTTCTAAAAAAATAAAGTAAATCAGGCTTCATTTTCTTTGGATTCTGCAGAGAAATGTGACATTTTTGTGAGATTTTTCTGAGAAACACACACACGCACACACGCTCTCACCTTCTCGCAGCATTCCCACAGACAGACACTTAGTGAAGCGGCAGGCCTGACAGGACTTCCTCCTCCTTTTAGTGATCTCACAGTCTCTGCTGACCGAACAACTGTACTCGATATTTCCTGACAGAGACAAACAGACCATCATTACCATCAAAATATTCATCTAGCAAAAACTGTGTACCAAACACACACAGACACACTTTCCCCCTGTGCAACTAACTAGACAAACTGCATTTATTTTATAACAAAACACCGTAAAATCAGCAATATTTAGAATTATTATTACAATATATTTCAAAATGTCATTTATTCCTGTGATCAAAGCTGAATTTTCAGCATCATTACTCCAGTCTTCAGTGTCACATGATCTTCAGAAATCATTCTAATATGCTGATTTGCTGATCAAGAAACATTTCTGATTATTATCAATGCTGAAAATAGTTGTGCTGCTTCATATTTTTGTGGAAACCATGATGCATTTATTTGAAACAGAAACATTTATTTGATCAATTTAATGACCCTAAACTTTTAAACACATGAATCACCTACTATATTTGTCAAAATGTGTACAAAGCACATCACACTGGATACTGTGCAATGTATTCACATTTTCAAGATGAAAATGTACCAAAAGAAAGTTTCACTTACTATGCAATAAATATATTTAATACAGACCAGGTAGGGCTGGACGATATGGCCAAAACTGATATCACAATATATTTCTTAATTTCGGTCGATACAATATAATTCCGATATAGATGAACAATTGTATATATTAAAAAAAAACAAGAACTCCCATAGCAGATGTCTGTACCTACAAACGTTTTAAAAATTAATTTGCCAAGTCTCTGAAACCTCCTCCTATAAAAACTACACTATACCAGTCAAGTTTTTGAACAGTAAGATTGTTAAAGTTTTTTTAAAGAAGTCTCTTCTGCTCACCAAGCCTGCATTTATTTGATCCAAAATACAGCAAAAACAGTCAAATATTTTTACTATTTAAAATAACTGTTGTCTATTCGAATATATTTTAAAATGTAATTTAATCCTGTGATTTCAAAGCTAAATTTTTAACATCTTTACTCCAGTCAAATGATCCTTTAGAAATCATTCTAATATTCTGGTGTGCTGCTCAAAAACATTCATTATTATTATGTTGAAAACAGCGGAGTAGATTTTTTTTCATGTTTCTTTGATGAATAGAAAGTTCAGAAGAACAGCATTTATCTGAAATAGAAATCCTTTGTAACATTATAAATGTCTTTATCATCACTTTTGATCAAGTTAAAGCATACTTGCTAAATTAAAGTATTAATTTCTATAATTTCTTTCCCATAATATATATATAGTATATATATATTTACAAAAGCTTTTTATTTCAGATAAATGCTGATCTTTGGATCTTTCTATTCATCAAAGAATCCTGACATTTTTTTTTACTCAACTGTTTTAAATATTGATAATAATAATAATAAATATAAATGTTTCTTGAGCAGCAAATCAGCATATTAGAATGATTTCTGAAGGATCATGTGACACTGAAGACTGGAGTAATGATGCTGAAAATTCAGCTTTGCATCACAGGAATAAATTACATTTTAAAATATATTCAAATAGAAAGCAGTTATTTTAAATAGTAAAAATATTTAACAATATTACTGCTTTTGCTGTATTTTGGATCAAATAAATGCAGGCTTCCTTAAAAACATTAAAAATGTTACTGTTCAAAAACTTTTGACTAGTATAATATTTAAAAAAAAAAAGACAAATAAATTAATGTTCACCTTTTACTTGTATTTAGCCTTCATACAAACAAGAAATGTGAAATCACTGTTCACTTTAGAGCGGCAGTAATAGCGGTTTCCCCGGTAACGGCTGGCTCCGGCTCCGCTCATGAACGCTGCTTTATCAGATGAAAATGCCATCGAAACTTTTCTGAAGACAGTTGGTTCCCTTCAAAAGTTGACATGACGTGAGGCCAAGTATGGTGACCCATACTCGGAATACTAGTGCTCTGCATTTATCCCATCCTAAGTGCACACACACAGCAGTGAACACACACACACACCGTGAACACACACCCGGAGCAGTGGGCAGCCATTTATGCTGCGGCGCCCGGGGAGCAGTTGGGGGTTCGGTGCCTTGCTCAAGGGTACCTCAGTCGTGGTATTGAAGGTGGGAGAGAGCGCTGTACATTCACTCCCCCCACCTACAATCCCTGCTGGTACGAGATTTCAACCCGCAACCTTGGGTTACGAGTCCGACTCTCTAACCATTAGGCCACGACTTTCCCGTCAAAGATACATTCATATAAAACACCCGTGCCACATTTTGATTTTGAAACGTGCAGTGCTCATGTTTATTCAAGGAAGTCAACCGCCACAAATAAATCAATGTATGACTGGGAAACACTGGTAATGTATATCGAAATATCGGAAATGTGTTTAAAAATCATATCACCGTTATTGAAAAAAAATATATCGCAATATATATTGATATTTTTTTGTCCAGCCCTAAGACCAGGGTTATCATCTTTCACTAAAACTAAAGCCATAAAAAAAACATTTATTGAAATGAAACAAATATAAAAGAACTCAAACTAACTTTATTTTTAATTTGATTTCAGCGTGATGCCAAGGCAGCATTGTTTCTGTTTAGTTTAAGTTGAGGCACTAAAATAACTAAAACGTAATATAAACGCTAAAATGACACTAATAAAAATGACAAGCAATTTTCTAAATCTTTAAGCAAAAATAAAAACAGAAAATATCTAATGTAATTCAAAATATTAACAAAATCAATAACAGTATATCAATGCTACTACTAAATAACACCGAAGGATGGACACACAAACACACATCTGATTAGTGTCCTGACCTTGAATAGTGCGTTTGAAGAATGCTTTGCAGGCCTCACAGGAAGCCACTCCATAGTGAAAACCAGATGCAGCGTCTCCACACACGAGACACAGGCGTTTGGGGCCCGAGCTCAGCCCGTATCCGCTCTTCTCCAGCGGTTCCTCCAGCGGCCTGCAGGGGGCGCCAGGAGGCCTAAGATCCGCCTCAGCCGCAGGGTATGAAGTGGGAGAGTCCAGACCTGTTGGGTTATCTTTAGTTACTGAACTGTAGCTGCTCCCAGCGTCTGACGACGCCCCGGGACTGTGCTGGGTCAGACTGTCCGACAGGGAGGAAGGGCTCGATGGCTCCGTCTTGATGTAGGCGGGACAGTGTCCGTCGATCGACAACAACGTTTCCAGAAAGCTTTGGAAATCAAGAGAATAATGAGAGTTAAGAAAAGGAGACAAATGCATGCCTGCATTATCTTTACAATCCATTTGATTATTATTACACACACTGTAAATGTGAGCTATTTTAAAAGAAAGAGGTAAAATGCTGCAGTAAAAACATGTTAACTGGAAGTAAATTAAAATAAAAAATAACTACTTTAATTCAAATTTCATAAAAATATACATATTTTACTGCATAATAACTGTACAAAATTATATAGTCAAACTCCATATTAAAGAAAATACATATATTTCATAGTGAATTATTGTTATTTTATTTCAGATTTTATGGCAAATTATTATTTTTTTTTTCAAACACAAAATATTTTTCCATAGTTTTTGTAAGGTTCAAAGGTTTAGGGTTAGATTTAATTTTACTTGTATTTATCTATCTATTTATTTATTTTTGCACACATTAAATTACCCAAAAATAGAGATATTTAAAATATTACAGATTATTTTTATTTCAAATAAATGCTGTTCTTTTTCCATAGTTTTTGTAAGGTTCAAAGGTTTAGGGTTAGATTTAATTTTATTTGTATTTATCTATCTATTTATTTATTTTTGCACACATTAAATTGCCCAAAAATAGAGATATTTAAAATGTTACAGATGATTTTTATTTCAAATAAATGCTGTTCTTTTTTAACTTTTCATTTATCAAAGAATGAAAAACATGGATTGGCTGTATTAAGCAGCACAACTGTTTTCAACACTGATCATTTGAAATGTTTCTTGAGCAGCAAATCAGCATATTATAATTTTTAGAATATTAAAATGATTTCTGAAGGATCATGTGACACTGAAGAGTAATGATGCTGAAAATTCAGCTTCAGGGCATCACAGGAATAAACTACGTTTAGCCTATTTTAAATCGTACTAATATTTCACATGATTACTGTATATGCAGCCTTGGTAAGCATAAAATACTTTTTTCAAAAACATACAAAAAAAAAACTCGTTTGTTTAATGTTTAAACAGCATTAAAACTAATAGTCGTAAAAGCATTATTTTAACATCATGTGTATCACCCTGATGGTGTTTTGTCCTTGTGCAGGTCACACTGTGCATGTTCTACAAATTGTTTATGTTTATAATGTTTGTATTTTTATTAGCCATGGCTTATGGAAAGACAATTGTGATGAACCTCAAACCACTTGTACTGTAAATTTGATTTGTTTCACAGTGCATGAATCCCTGAAATGAGCTCCAATCTGACAGATCAGCAAATTAGTGTTTTTTTCTTTTTATTTCCCACTATGTCAGAAGTAATGTTTACAGCACACACAGCACCTGAACACACCTGTTTTATCACTCCATCACACACACACCAGTAACGTGATCCTAAAGCCCATCAGGGTTTTTGTCTGGGATGCAGAGGAATTACCTGTGACTCCATCACACGTCTCAAATCCTATTGCTGTAAGACGGTCGGTGAACGCTGCCAGAACGTGTGCTTATTAAAGCGCTCTGCCTCGATTCTTACGTGAATATACAGCAGGATTATAGCTGTGATTTTTCCATATAGTTTCTCAACTCTTTCAAAGTGTGGGGTAGATCACTACAACTGCATTCCTTTCAGTACAGTAATCATTTACTCGGTTCAAAATGAAGATTGATCAATAGTTGATGGTACATTACATGTTCTTCCAATCAACATATTGATTTCTGGGTCCTTTAAAGCGTGATGGTTTCTAAAAAAAAAAAACATCTGGTGCTTTAAAGAACCCAGAAACCAACAGGCTAAAGAATAAGAAGTCTTTGAGGAACTTAAACAGGTTCTCTTGTTGTATAGTTCTAATTGGAAACTTTAATCTTAGTGATCTTAGTCTGATGATGGACAGTTTGCAAGTGGAATGTGCATCTAAAATATGTATTATTAATATATTAATAAGTTGCTTATTAATGGAACAACATGTTTATTCCATCTACTATTTCATCTTTTATAGTCAAATTATATAACTGATCAATCTTGAACTGAATATCTATCTAGGGATCAAATAAATAAATACATTTCTTCTTAAAATTTGTCTTTCATGACTATGTATGTCTTTCATGATCACATAAGGTTTTACTCTCTATCACATTCCAACATGCATATCGTTCTCTTATTATAAATCAATAGAATAAATCAAATACATGTCATGTATAAGTTACTCATGTAAGTCACATGCCCCCCTCAATCATAGTAAATTGTTACTACATATTATAAACGAATATGAGATCTTCTTTAATCAGTCCAAGACCATTATAGCCATTTTGTTCAATTTGTTTGCTATATGATCTTGTATATCCTATATATAAAGGGGAAACTATAGGCTAATATTTTGTATAGATAAAAATAGATAGCAAAGTTCCAGTAACGCAAATGAAGTACAATACGATAGTACATATAAAAGCCTAATTATGCCCCAAATGAAGTTAATACATTTATAAGTTACTTACTTGTTCTGGTCAGAAGGGAAGGAAAAAGATTCCGGGTGAAAAAACTGCACTAGATCCATTAGACAGCTAATAATGAAACCATAACCTGAGAAAACTGTGAAAAACACTAAACGTCTCTCTTCTTTTCGTCTGCAAGGGTTTACTGTAATAAAGCTCGTCTGTTTCTCCTCACTGCGTTTCTGCTACTGCAGCGAGCGCAAACGATAAAAACCCCGGCAGGGCTGCTTATGAATATTGAATACACGTTTCGCGTTGTTCCCGCCTCAATGCCAACGTCAGCAGATAATCGACCAATGGGGGCGCGTTCTACTGAATATTCATAAGCCTTGCTCAGGTGAGAAGATGGAGCTTCATTTTGAGAGTTAAATGAAAGAAAAACGCGAAAACAAAGAACATGAATCATTTCTAATCGCAAAACTGAAACGCTGTCATTATTGAAGCTGTCTATAGTAGCCTACACGCGATATTTTAAAGGCAGTACTGAAATTTGAGTGTAGACAGTGTTTTATTTTATAACCAAACCAGTTATATAGGCTTAGAAATATGCATAGTAACGGTATCAGATGGTAATACTTTGATAAACACTATGCATCATGATGACTATATTAATAAAGGCTAGTATTTACATTGTACTTCAGGGCACTTACAGTAAAACCATGGTACTACCATGGTAAGGGATGCGACTTACATAAAAGTATCAAAAACTATCCAAGTGTTGTCTGAACACACAAATCTGAAGGCTACATAAAGATTTCCACTATAAATATTATTGCAATTCTTGTCTTCAAAATTGCATTTAACACAACAAGGCATCATCTCCTGCACAGGTCATTAGCCTAATGCTAAGCAAACTTTTAAGAAACAATAAGGTGTTTATGCGAGATCAAGTGTAACTTTGTGTTTGAAATGAGAAAGCCTCCATTATGCAGGAGGTAAACAGACAGTGTTTTCAGTGGTATTAGCTGGAAAAGCCTCTGTCCACTCATGTGCCCAGAGCAAACATACACTGAGCTGAAAAACAAAAGGAGATCTCAACGCTTTCTGTGTCTAAGTCCGACATTTACTTGATTCTGCACTGCAGACTACACAGCAGGAAACGCTCCTCATTAAACATCCTCCTCATCCCTCCAGATCACAACTAAACCCAGATCAGACAGACAGGTCTGACCACTGCAGTACAGATCTCAGTTCATAACATCACAAAGAGCAAATATCTCCATGGCATTCACTGCTGGTGTCTTTTAAAACATGTTATAAGTTAACCCATATAGCAGCAGTCCTGGATGCTGCATGAGAGCACAACTGCTTATGCTTATGCTCTAATGAGCAAACATGATATCTGGCATATTAAAGGAATATTTCACCCAAAAATGAACATTTGCTGAAAATGTGCTCACCTTCAGGCCATCCAAAATGTAGAAAAGTTTGTTTCCTAATGAGAACAGATTTGGAGAAATTGCTCAACAATGGATCTGAATGGGTGCTGTCAGAATGAGAGTCCAAACAGCTGATTAAAAACATCACAATAAACCACAAGTAATCCACACCACTCCAGTCCATCAGTTACCATCTTGTGAACCAAAAAGCTGCATATCTGTAAAGTAGTGTAAAGAAAGCTTTACTTGCATATAAATAGCAGAAAAAGTGTAGAGATTCTTAATAAAATACAATTCCGCTACTAATTTAAATTATATATAGTGCAACTGCATAGTGCTTTTAACAATACAGATTGTGTCAAAGCAGCTTTACAGTATTAAATAGGAAAAAAAAAATAGTGTGTAATAATACAAAAGGACAACAGTAAACAATCAATTTCATTTAAAGTCAGTTCATCATTGCACTCAGGCCTCTTTCAAAAATACAATGTCACTAACCTGGCAAATCCTGTAATTAGGTCTTCATCAAAAGCGTTTAGTGAATCAACCCTGGTTCAAGACGAACTGACTGACATCACCTATATGCCTTTACTCACCTAAGATGTATGATGTATAAAACCAGACACTTTAAGAAATCAAGAAAGCATTTTCCAGTTTTGTGCAACAGTCATCAGGTGGTTGGTGAATGTACTGTACTTTACTGTCACATTTCTCTCCTCTCATCCTGTTATGAAATTGTGTAGATATGTATCAGTGACAGTCGTTACCTGTGTGCTGAGCGTTACGTAACTCAGGTCTCAAAGTGATGAGCTGAGCAGGATTACATGCTGGATTTCCTCTGACTGAGACGATTCTCATCTCGTTTGTCTCACGCACAGAGACAGATGATGACACAGCTTTTTAACCCTCATGTTGAGTTGGACTTTCTTTTTCACAAGAAAAATCTATCTAGATAGATAGATAGATGTGCGATAGATATATAGATAGATAGATAGATAGATAGATGTGTGATAGACAGATAGATAGATGTGTGATAGAAAGATAGATAGATGTGTGATAGATAGATAGATAGATAGATAGATAGACGTGTGAGATAGATAGATGTGTGATATAGATAGATAGATAGATAGATAGATGTGTGATAGAGTGTGACAGATAGATAGATGTGTGATAGATAGATAGATAGATAGATAAGATAGTGTGATAGAAAGTGTGATTAGATAGATGTGTGATAGATAGAGTGTGTGTGATAGATAGATGTGTGATAGATAGATAGATAGATAGATAGATGTGTGATAGATAGATAGTGTGACAGATAGATAGATGTGTGAGATAGATAAGATAGTGTGATAGATAGTGTGATAGATAGTGTGATAGATAGACAGATAGACATAGTGCGATAGATGTGTGATAGTGTGATAGATAGATAGATAGTGTGATAGAAAGTGTGATAGATAGATAGTGTGATAGATAGATAGATAGACATAGATAGATAGATGTGTGATCAGATAGATAGATGTGTGACAGATAGATAGAGTGTGACAGATAGATAGAGTGTGGGATAGATAGATAGATAGATAGATAGATAGATAGATGTGTGATAGACAGATGTGTGATAGATAACAGATGTGTGATAGATAGATGTGTGATGGATAGATAGATAGATGTGTGATAGATAGAGTGTGACAGATAGATAGATGTGTGATAGATAGATAAGATAGTGTGATAGATAGATAGATAGATAAATAGATAGATGTGTGATAGATAGATGTGTGACGATAGATAGATGTGTGATAGATAGATGTGTGATAGACAGATGTGATAGATAAGACAGATGTGTGATAGATAGTAAGATAGTGTGATGGATAGATAGATGTGTGATAGATAGATAGATAGATAGATAGATAGATAGATAGATGTGTGATGGATAGATAGATGTGTGATAGATAGATTATCAGACTTTAAAAATTAACTTCAGACATAAGCAGGTACCTTTAAACACATCATTGGTCTTTACTTTCTCAGTTCTATTCAAGAGTTCAAATTACAAAACATTTTGATAGTCTGTTGAACTGACAGCTAATTAATTGTTGAAAAATATCTTATGTATCTATACGATACATAAGATAATATTTAAGATAAATATATCTTAAATATTCATATCCCATATTTTGAACACGGCCTTACAAAAAAATGAACTGCATTCTGTTGTAGAACTAATCAGGATTCCGTTGTTCACACTGACTCTGGACACTTTGAATACATCTCCAACATATCAGCTGCTAAGCAGAACAGAAAGCGTAGAGTCTGTTGGTATAATTTTCTGCTAGATTGCACAGTTATAATTACTCTCCAGATCAGCTGTACTGATGAGAGTATTGATCTGTCCTCTGATAGTCATCACAACAAACACACACAGAATACGAAATAATTGCCATAAAACACATCCCTGAAGACAATCAACATGAGAATTGAGTATTCTCCTAATAAAGTTGTTCATCTACTCACCCTCATGGGTCTTGTAAACCCACAGGACTGGTTTTCTTGCATTAGAACAACAAAGGAGATGTTTAACAGATTGTCCAAGCTGCTCTTTCTAATAAAATAAAGTCAAGATTTTTGGAGGGAACGAAGACTTTTACAAAACATACATTTTAAATTATTTCAAAAATATTTGTATTTCATAATTAACATGATTATTTTCAAAATTCCCTCACATCCTGAGACTAATTTCAAACTATTTTTGCTGTCTTGAAAGTATGTTTAAATGGAATTGTTTTAGTGCCAGATACTATTATAGCGTATATATAGTATTTTAGTTTTTATTCATATTTTGTAATAAATGTTACAAATATTTTACATTTGAAGTATTTTTAATTTAACTTATTAATATAAACACACACACCCACACACACACACACACACATATAAATTGTGTGTTGTCACTTTAAATAAAGTTTTGGTAATTGATATTGTGTGTTTTTGCCATTTTTATTTGTCTATATAGTTTTTATTCATTTTATTTCATCTTTTTTATTTTAGTACATCAAGTTAAACTAAATAAAAATGAGTGATGTTGTAATGGCAAAAAAATACCTTAAACATTTTATTTCAGTTAAAGTTGATTTCAACTGATCTCGTTTTCTTAAATTTCATGGTTTTGATTTTAGTCAGCTATAACAACTCTGCATCATGGGAAAGATTCAAAGATTCAACCTAGAGCAGAGAACACTTTAATACTGATCTACAGTATATGAACAATACGTCACTTTGACTTCAGAACACACTCCTAATATGTAAATTGGCAAAAACGACAAAAAGGCCAATGTAAACAAATGTGGCATGTTTGTGAGTTTGGCATGTTGTACAGATCACAGGAAGAGACAAACCTGACATGCTCCTCGTTCATGTCAACAACCACTTGAAAACTGTTCATTCTTGAGTGCAAACATGGTTAAAAATACAACGTGTTCCCAAAACCAAAATTTAAAAAACACTTATCTTCATTCATGGAAGTACAGCTCTCAAACACTGGAGAGGAAGTGATGTCACATTCGGCTCAAAGACTCTTCCTGTATTAGCGAGCGGATTCCTAAACGTTCTGCCAAGATAATAGATTCTCCAATCATCTGGGATTGTTCGTAAGAGGCATTGAAGTGTTTACCCAACAATGGCATAATCTTCACCTCGTGACAACCAGAAATCGTCAGTAGTAAACGTGTCGCCTCCTCGAACGCTTAAGCCAATTCAGTCAATTAATCCTATTCATTACTCAAACTCTGCTGAGAAATACACGTATTTCACTGAATGTCGAATCATT